TGTGATATATCTGACTTTGTTTGTAATTTATATCCAGAAGCCAAGATGAAGTGACACCCAAACCCACAAGGTGAAACTCAACTTCTTCTACGCAATTGAGTTAATTTTTTTGGCTTAAGCCGTAAACACATGAAATCTTTGTGATAAATAGTTTCCATATTGCTGTGCGTCTGTTTAACGAAAAGATTCCATGTTTCCATCCGCCTGCTCAGTAATAGATCGCAAATGACGTCAAAATGTTTTAAGAAAAAAAAATGGCACTCGAGGCGCCTAGCTGAATTGCACACGGACTTGACCGATTCTTGCTCATGATTATTGGAGGACAGACAGTGATGACGTCACCATTAACAAAAGTTTGCTTTGTTATCATAGAAAACAAATGAACTCCGTGTTGCCGTGGGTCTCTACAATAATGGATCATAGAAGACACCAAAATGGGGTTAGACAGGGCTCCCGCGTTCCTTGAAAGTCCTTGAATTTAATTTTTTGTTTTCAAGGACTTGAAAACCCTTGAATTTAGACTCGGGTTCTTGAAAATTTCTGAAAAGCCCTTGAAAGTTTCTGAAAAGCCCTTGAAAGTTTCTGAAAAGCCCTGGAAAATTTCTGAAAAGCCCTTGAAAATTTCTGAAAAGCCCTTGAAAATTTCTGAAAAGCCCTTGCAAATTTCTGAAAAGCCCTTGAAAATAAGTGGGGATGAATCAAAGTCGCAGTTTTCTTTTGTTTTCAGTGTTGAAAGTGCAAGTTTTTAGAATAAATCGCGAAAACGAGTTTTCCTTTCAAATTCCTTTTGCGATTATGATGTCTGGCACGTGATTTTTATATATTTTGTACCAGATTGGTGCATTGAAAATAACCTTGGTTACCTAGCACGTGATCACTCTGATGCGCATGCTTGAAGTCACGCTCGTTGGACTTTTCGGCCGGTCCCGCACGCACGCTCGTGTCATTGAAAGGTCCTTGAATTTGAGAACCAAGCTCCTTGAAAATGGCCTAAAATGTCATTGAAAGTCCTTGAATTGGGTTCCTGAAAAAGGGCAAGAACCCTGGTTAGAACATATATGCTGCGTCTCGTGTGCCACTCTTTTGTTCGTACCACATTTTGACGCCATGTGCTACCTCTTGTAGAACAGACGCACAGCAACCTGGACTCTTTTTGTGAACCACACAATGTTTCTATGATTTCTTAACAGAAAGCGTAAAGTCAGTCTAGGGGAGGAGATGGCCTCAGGTTGGAAGTCCAAAAAAGTGCTCATGGGAAGGTATATTACTGGTTGTGATAAGATTATCTTTTAACATTTTGACCCCCAACAGTGACTAGCGTCTAATTTCTCCTTAATAATAATAATA